ATCATTGGGAGCGATGGCATTTGCCGCGTACGTCGACCGGACGGAAAACGCCTCGATTTACGTTACTGCCATAAGACCGTGAAGCATGGTGGAGGCAATTTAATGGTCTGACGATATTTTTCTACTAACGGTCTTGGTCCAATACATCGAATCGAGAGAATAATGGACCGTTTCATGTATAAAAATATCCTGAAAGATGTTATGTTACCTTATGCTGAATGGAATATGCCAATAAAATGGGTTTTTCAGCAATACAACGATCCGAAACACACTGCAAAAGTAGTCAAGCAGTGGTTTCAAGACAACCACCTATCGGTGATGGATTGGCCGCCTCAATCTCCGGATCTCAACCCTATCGAGAGTCTGTGGGAGATCGTCAACCGCAGAATTATTCGTGAAGGTGTTCGTAATAAGGATAAACTGTTTGAACAAATCCAAAAGGCCTGGGCAGCGATTCCACAAAGTTTCATTGATCACCTGATCGAATCTATGCCTCGAAGATGCAAGGTTGTGATCTACAACAAAAGATTCGCCACGAAATATTGATAGCAAAATACAGCTTGGTCAACATTTCGTGGATTTGCACTTGTTTTGTCCAGAAGGAAATCAACATTTTTTAATACTTTTGATTAATTTATTAATTTTCGTGAACAAATAATGAACTTTGTGATGAATAAAACTTGAAGAATGTTGTTTCTAAACAGTTACATAGTTATTTCTCTAAATTGAAAAAATGCAGCACTTTTATATAAAGAAACTAAATTAGCATTATTTGGTTGCACTTGTTTTGTCCGATACTGTATATGTGGTGCTTTTTTCAAAAAAACTCTAAAATATCTAAAAAATTACCGTAATGCGTAATAATCGGAAAAAATCGCATAAATTTGCGATTTTGTAGACAGATTTATATACAAGATTTTCCATAATAAAATTACCATGCACTTTTACTTGGTTCCTCTACCTAAGTAGAAACTCTTAAAAGAAAAAGAAATTATTTTTTTTGAGTTTTAGAACTTTCTCAAACGTGCCAAAAATGGGCTAAAAAAAGGGTTCAAAAGTCTAAAACATGACTTTTGAGGCACTTGAGCAACTCCTAAAAGTGATCCAAATTCAAAATAAAAATATTTTACTAATAAAATATGGGTCTGCGCAGCAGATAAGACTCCGTAGTACTTTTAATTTTTTTGTGACATCAAAATGACGTAGTCTAATATATATATACATACATACATACTTATATATTTATATATATATATATATGTATATATGTATGTATGTATGTATGTATGTATGTATATATATATATATATATATATATATATATATATATATATATATATATATATATATATATATATATATATATATATATATATATATATATATATATATATATATATATATATATATATATATATATATATATATATATAAATTCGGGGAAATTCTACGGATTCTACGTTATCGCACAAAAATTTATTCATATAATTAATCGAGCTAATAAAATAATCAACAAAAGTTCCCATTGAAAATATGTAAAAGAAAAGAGAAATAAACAATTGTGATTATAAAAATTATTTTTATAGTAGTGTAAATATATTTCATGTTTGAAACTCTATATTCCACGTGTGAAACTCTATATTCCACGTGTGAAACTCCATATTCCACGCGTGAAACTCTAAAAATCTGTAAAATATTACAGCAGTTAAAGCATTTATGACATAATTAACCTTACAGTATAAATTAAAGTAAAGTGTGTAAAATATCACATTACAGTTATTGTAATGTAATATTTGTCATGTGTAAAATATTACATTAGAGTACTAGGCCGGCGTCTGTGGCTTCAAATTTCAATACTTTCGTTATTCACATCGAGTAACTAAGTTTTAAAATTGCTAACTTGCGTTTTAAGTATTCTAGAATCTAACATAAAAAGTTTCCATTCTAAAATTGTCCCAAGCGGCCAGTATAGACCCCTAAAGTAACCCATTATCGTGTTTATCGTGAGATTTCGATTTCATTCGATTTTTAAAAATATATTTTGCAGAACCATGTTTTACTATGATTTTCCTGTCTAAAACCATTTTGTATTATAAGCTAATTATTGCATAATCTTTTTAATAAAACACAGACTTAAAAAGTTATTATCTTTTTATACTAATAAAAATTTTTACAAATAATTTTTTGGTCTGCGTTTTATTAAAAACGTAAAAATTTGTTTTGATTTATCCTATAGAACTTTAAACATCCAAAATAACATTTGTGGAACATTTTAATTTATAATCGATCTTTATGAACTTTTATTTATATTATAATAAATATAAATTCAAATTATAATAAATAATTATACGGGGCTGAACAAGAAGAACTAGTTAATTGAGTCTTTGATCAACAAATTCCTCACATCTCATCTTGAGTCAAATAAACTGCTGTCAGACAATCAATACGGTTTTCGATCCTCTCGCTCTACGGCCGACTTGCTAACTGCTGTAACTGAAAGATTTTATCGTGCATTAGATGAAGGCGGTGAGGCTAGGGCTATTGCTCTCGACATATCTAAAGCTTTCGACAAAGTTTGGCATGCTGGTCTTCTCCATAAGCTTGCTTCATATGGTGTTTCTGGAAAAGTTTTTGAGATTATCAAATCATTTCTTTCTGACCGGTTTATTAAAGTCATCCTTGAAGGCCAACACTCTTCTTTATTTCCAGTAGCTTCTGGGGTTCCCCAAGGTTCCATCCTGGGCCCTGTTTTGTTCCTTATCTACATAAACGATCTTCCTGACAACCTTTCATCTAAAGTAGCTCTTTTTGCTGACAACTTTATGCTCCTGTCTTGACAAAAAGTCTTCTCTTTTCGATCGCCTAGAACAAGCAGCTGATCTTGAATCTGATCTCACTACAGTAATAGATTGGGGTTCACAGTGGCTTGTGAATTTCAACTCTAAAAAAACCCAATTGCTTACTGCAAACAACTACCGTAATATGGTCAACATTCCTATATTAATGAATGGCAATCCTCTTACTGAGTCGTCCTCTTTACGTCTTCTCGGATTATCGCTTACTACTGACCTTTCATGGAAACCATATATACAATCGATTGCTAAATTAGCTTCTGCTAAGGTTGCTTCTCTTTATCGTGCTCGCCATTTCCTTACTTCTGATTCCATTCTCTACCTCTACAAATCTCTTATTCGTCCCTGTATCTGCTAAGCTTGAACCTCTTTCCCATCGTCGTAAAGTTGCATCTCTTTCTCTTTTCTACAGATACAATCATGGTCACTGCTCAAAGGAGTTATCATCTCTAGTTCCATCAACTAAAATTCATTCTCGTTTTACTCGTCATTCAGCTAAGTCTCATTCGTTTACTGTATCTGTCCCTGCATGCTCTAAAAACTTTTATTCATCTAGTTTTTTTCCCCGCACTTCAAACCTTTGGAACTCTCTCCCATCTTCATGTTTTCCTGACTCATACAACCTTCAACTTTTCAAGTCTTCTGTCAACCGTTTCCTTGCTCTATAACTCTGTTCTTTTTTTTCCTAGTAACTCCCAACTTAATAGTGGTTGCTTGCAGCCTTGTTGGGAGTGAATGCAAATAAAAAGTAAAAAAAAAAAAATTACGCTTAAGTCTGGGAAATTCAGCAAGAAAGCGTAACAAGCAAATAAAGATTCGCTTGTTCTACACATTAATAGAGCTAAATATGAAGCTTTATCAGAAACGATCACATATAACAGTGAATAACTCGCCAAGTTTTTTTTGGTAATGGTTGGTTTAATGATCAAGGTTCAATTACCATATCTTGGTTAGAATTGCCTGCTGCACCAGATTCGGCGCTTGATTTTGTTCATTATTGTTGCCATGATTGTTCGACTAGAAGATGTTCTTGTCATAAAGCTTGTGTAGTTTGCCCAGATTTTTGCAAATGTAAATCATGGTGATAACCATCAAGAAGAGGATGATGACAACCAATAAGATGAATAATATGAGTCTGAGTCTGATAATGATAGCAACTTAGATTAGATTAATAAATTGTAATAAAAATTATTTGTTATTAATTATTTTTTGATTTTGAACTGCAAAATAAGTATCAGTGGCAGTAGGAAATTTAGTTAATTACAATAATATTTCTATATAGGAAATTTAGTTAACAATAGTATTTCTGTTTTAATTACAGTCCTCTTTTAAAACATTGCATAAAAATGGTATATGGCAAGTCTCCTAAGAAAACAGATCAAAAATAGAAAGGTCTAAAACCTGGGTTACCTATATCAAAAAGCATTCAAATTTTAAGGTACTTTTGGTAGTTAACTAAAAAATTTACAAACTAAATTTGAAATTAAAATTATTATTTATTTGAGCATAATTAAGAAAAAAAAAAGTCATTTTTATTTATTAATAGAAACCGCCTTGCCTAAAACTATAGGATGGTTTCTATATAAGCTAAAACTTTGACTCTAAATTATCTGGTTATTGGGACCATGAAAATCTAAGAACTTTTTTTTTTGTGATTGGTTTGTTTAGATCTTCAAGAAAACTGTTTTGAAATTTAGTTACTAAATGTGTATAACGAACATCTTTTTTTGGAAAGCTTTTTCTGCAACAGACGCTGGCCTATACTTTAACTTAACTTTTAGTGTAAACTGAAGTTTTTAAATTTGAGCATATATATCTGATGAGTTATTATTGAATTTATTTATTGAAAGTGATTTTCGACTAATTTATTACTGCTCCGTTCTTTTACATTTTTAAATAACATTGAGTTTTTTTTTTTTTTTGTAGAATACATTTAAAACCATTCCTATATATTTCTATAATCATTCATTTATTTTTTTTTATAAAATTAAGAAAAATCCTTTTTTTTTTAATTTAAAACACCATTCATGTTAACTCCAAGTGCGTGTTGCGTATTATAACTTCTATTATAAATATATAAGTCGCATTACTATTAATTATTAAAGAAAATATCAATATTATTATTGTTAATATTGACATAATGTTCAACTTGTAAGCGCACGTTTGTGAAGTTTTTATTAAAGTTTACACACGTTTCTCATTTTTAATTTTTGTTTTACGTTAAAACGTATTTTATTATTTAGTCTTAAAAAATTCATTAACAGAAAATAGAGTTTGCAAAGTGTAGTTCACTTAACTAACTTGTAAAAATGTCAAAGTTTCCATTTCGTTATTGGGAGTTCTTCTGGTATTTATGTGTTGCAATTATTGGAGGGGTTGGTAACTTTATTGTTCTTTTTGTCATCATTAAAAGCAAGAAACTGAAAAGCAGTTCTCCCTTTAATATACTTATTTTTGCTTTGGCTTTAACTGACTTAATGGCGTCGTTAATAGGTTTACCAAATTATATTTTATCAACAGACGCATTTGAACATCCTACTGGTGCAAATGGAGATTTATTATGTAAACTTTTTACAGGGTATTTTTGGACGTTTTGGCTTTTGGAGCTGTCGGTAATTCTTCTTGTACTTATTTCACTTGAACGCAGAGCAGTAGTTTTAAATCCATTTCTTACATTTTATGAAACTTCATTTAAAAAGACCGTTGCACTTATTATTGGTTCTATTTTCTTTACGTTTTTGATAAGTACTCCAAACATTGTTGGTGTTGTTTACGATAAGAATAATGCAAGGGGAGGAAACTTTTGCCGCTATAAATATACCTACTATGAATCTCTAGGAATATATGGGGCTATTTTTTTACTTGATACAATTATTCCGTCTGGCATAATTCTACGTTGCTTTTACGACATAAAAAATACACTCAAAAAATCAGATATTTCTATAACACCGAAAATAACGTCCTACGAAAGTTTAAAAACGTCTGAAAAGAAAAACAATCCTAAAATAAAAACAGCAGAAACTTTACAGCTTGTGGTTCTCGCTTTTTTTGTTTGTATAATTCCAAATCAAATCTTATACGTCATGTCTTTTGCAAAAGTTAAAGAAATCACGTGGAATTCACAAATTTATCAGATCGCTGTTTTGCTTCGTTTTTCAAATTCATGTATAAATCCAATATTGTATAGTTTCCATAGCGTAAATTTTAGGCAAAACGCCCGCATTGCTTTTAACTCGTGGATGAAAAGAAATCAACAAATTAATTTTTATACGAGGGAAAGTTTTATTACAAAATATCGTAGTCAAAGTATTAACTCAAACGTTGACTCTATAGAGAGCAATCCAATTATATAGATTTTTAAAAACTATTTATATACCAATTTGTAATTTAAGTTGGAAATTTTAGAGAACAAAACGTTTTATAATTTCAAATTATAAAACTATATTTATGTGTTTATCAATATTTATCTATCTATATATCAAGTTAATTTCGTAAAATTTTTTATTTTTAAATACTTTATAAAGTAAATGACTCACACTGCAACATGTAATTAAAAAAAGAAGCTTAGGCGTGTGTTTGTCTCTGTGTGTGTGTATTTATATTTAATAGAAATACAACTAAAGTAAGTTATGACGTCTAATTTTATTTAGGACCTAAAAGAAATAGTATATTAATTTTGAATTTAATTGCTTTCAAAATTTTTCCCTGCATAGAAAAAATGTATGTTATGTTTGTAAGAAAAATTTGAAATAATCACCAATTTAGATGAAAAAAATTCATATATTACGTATTAGTATCAAAGTTTAAGATAATCTATAATAACTGTTTAAATTTTTTGATTCTCTGCCTAGATTTGTTATATATTAAATATTTCTTACTTCTTAAATTTTTAGAGGATTTTATTTTGCTCTCTGGTATCTTTTCCGTATTTTTAAAGAATAACTGCGTTTTAAATATCGGAATATAAAATATCTTTCTGTAAACAACTACTAACTCAAATCTAAAGATTTATTAATTGGATTCAATTCTATAAGGTGATTAGTAGTAATAAATTTGAAATAACTCTAAATCTGTAAATACTGTATACCAATTTTTCTAACGCTTTTGGAAGAAACAAAACGAATTACCAAATATTATAAAAAAATTTTTAGAAAACTTATGCGTCCAAATGCGTCCATATAATATATTAAACTAGCACAATTGTTTATTAGTTTGAAAACATAGAAATTCGTTTTTTTCGTAAAAGCAAGTTCTAGTTTACTTGGCGACGGCTTTAAAGCACGGCTCAGTAGACCAGAGTTTTACAAAAAAGTCAAACCAAAGATGGTGTATTGACTTTTTCAGTTATTTGCAATCAATATGCATACATAAATATAAAAAAATGTTTTTTTTTATTCACTTGATTAATTTGTATTCTTTAAGGCACCTCAAATTCAAAAAGTTGTTAAATTATTAACGAAAAAGTGAGATAAATGGAAATTTCTACATATTTACCTATAATTTTATGATTATTTCAAATAACGAGTATTTTTAACTTTATAGTTTTTTTTTTACATTTTTAAGACACATTTTATACAATTTTGCTTGAAAAAAAAACTTTGCGTACAAGACTTTGGTGTTTACAGCACGACTGTGAGATGAAATCAATCTAAAGCCATACATAAATTCTTTAACTGACACTTAAATAAAATATTGTCTGCTACTACTTCCCGCAACCAACTCCTCCGGTTGCAGAATGTTACCAAAGTCGATTAAAAAAATTAAATTTAAAAATATTAAACAGAAAAATTGGTATTACAAAACTATATATGTAATTTGAATCTGAAATCACACTTTTTGCAGACAACATATTTTCTAGATCTCGTACTTTGAGCAATTTTTTAATGAAGAGGATCCAATAAGATGTCTTTTTCATATGTTTCAGTATTTTAGGAAAGGGAATACTCAATCCCTGCCTCTGAAATACAAGTAGAGGACTACTCTGCTGAAGTAGGACTTCAAGATATATTAAAGTATAAAACAAAAAAGATAATGAAAGTTTCCAAATGTTTTCCTTAAAACTCTAAATTTCTACTAATCAGCAAGGTTTTGATGGCATTCTGTTACAAACAGAAACTGAAGATTGTACTCATAAAGATGTTCAGGAAAATCTATTCCTGACTTGCTTGGTACCATTTTAGCTGACTGTGTTTGCTACAGCTGAAATACTGTAGATTAATGAGTAGCTTTCATCAGCTTTTTACTGCAGATTTATGAGAAAAACAACACATTTAGTGAACCTTACTTTTCCTATTAGATATCTCCACGGATGGATCAGATGTTTGGACTGCCTCCTACATATCTTATACAGAACATGGTTTGAAAAATGATTGGTTAAAAGAGAAGAAAATAAATTTAAAATAATGGAGAAAAAAGAATTAAAACCTCTAGAGATCTACTGCATGGAGACAGCTCAGCTGCATGGAGACAGCTCAGCTGCATGGAGACAGCTCAGCTGCATGGAGATAGCTCAGCTGCATGGAGATAGCTCAGCTGCATGGAGACAGCTCAGCTGCATGGAGACAACTCACCTGCATGGAGACAGCTCAGCTGCATGGAGACAGCTCAGCTGCATGGAGACAGCTCAGCTGCATGGAGACAGCTCAGCTGCATGGAGACAGCTCAGCTGCATGGAGACAACTCAGCTCCATGGAGACAGCTCAGCTCCATGGAGATAGCTCACCTTTTTGTTCATTTATACCCCTGGTATAATATTACACAAACTGTTAATTTACAGTTCGCATGAAGCAGAAAGAAAGAGAATCTGTTTCTTCCCGAAAAAGTTAAATAATGTAAGTTGACACCTAAAGACCATATAGTTCTAATGGCAGCAACATAATTTTTTTGGAGTTTGTACAACGTCTAAAAGTGTGACATTTACAACATAAAAAATTCCAAAATGTGCTACTGTTTAGCGCGCCAATGGATTCCCTGGCCCTAAAAAATATTTAGTTAGATGCTTGATATGGCTATATTTATATGTTTTCTGATGTTTGCAAGAAGATCATCGCTATATTTTGATATTTTCTGGTCCACAGTGCTCTTTTATAATATTGTTAAATGGAACATATTTTATTGCAAATTCCTTTTATACTGATTCATTTTAACCCAACTAAAAACAAATTTTAAAATCTCACGGTAATACATATTAATATCAGAATTATAAACATAAATAAATAAAAATTCTTTTAGAATGCAATTATTTGTTTAACATGGTTTGAAAAACTTACAATCTAGTAGGGATATTCAGTTTTTAATTATTTGGATCAAGCCTTTAATAAAATTAGTAATGAGCTAAAAATTATCTCTATACTGCATTGGTAACCTCAACTTTATCAGTTTAAAGTACAATAAAATCAAGCCCTAAAAATTTTCATTGTATCTTACACTTTCTGTTGTAACACTGTATCTTACACTTTCTGTTGTAAATAAGCTTTTTACAACAGAAAGTGTAAGATACAGTGTAAAATGTGTAAGATACAGGATTCCCAACCCTAAACTTAACACATGGTTCAGATCAAATTGCCATTTTTAGTCAAATGATTTGACTCAAATCTCAATCAAAACTAATTACATTTTATTTCACTCAAACCAATTTAATGCATTACCATCAAATCTACCAATTCTTAGCATAGACAATAGAATTGTTAAAAGTACCGTCTAAGTTTCTTGGTGTGCGGATCGACGAGAATTTATGTTCAAATCTTTACACTAATGCCTTTAATACAAGAAAAAAAACAAGAATCTAATTTTAAAAACTTCAAAGCTATAGTTTTTAATGAAAATTAGTATAGATATCTATTTGCTGATAGCAAATCTATAAAAATGAAAGTTTTTCGAGAATTTATTTGATCATTAAAGTATTGATTATGAATAACATTTATCAGAAATAATCATACATTTTGAAGTTTTGATTTTTTATTGTAGCTCAAGATTTACAAATTTTGAGATGACAACCTATCTGAAATCAAACAGCACTGTTAATGATTTGTCTACATTTTAAATCGTACTTTTGAGGGTTCAACACAAATTTTTTTTGTCAATGGATCACAATAGCAACAACTCCGCAAATGGGACGTTTAGCGTTTAAGACAGGTTGCGTATTAATTTTACATTGTCTTTTAAGAACACGGTTTCTGATCTTTCACAATCCAGGACTAATAAAGTTAAAATATAGTATTAAATGTCAGGTATCAATTGGATTCAGATGAATGTGGGCCTTGAGTACTTGTTTGTTGTAAATTTGTTTTAATAGAGAGCCGCGCTATGTGATACATACAAAAAAACATGAACAAACGTTTAATAAAACTATTTAAAGAGTTGACAAAATTTCCACCTAAGATGTTGGAAGTCTCACTCTGCAATTCTCATTAATGTTACTGGTCAGAGCGGGATTAATTCTGAAATCAGTCCTATAACCATTTGTTTACTGTTTACGAGGGTATGAAATATTATCAAACATTTGTTTTATTACTTAGTGTATTTAACAAAGTTTTTTATAAATGTTGCGACGTCTTTAAAAACTGGTAATAGCCGAATTTGGTCTTTTTCTTCTAGTTCAAGGAAAGCTGCTATATTGCTCTTTGCATGGTTTGCAAACCACCCTAGTATCAAAAGTATTATGGATAGTAGTCCTAGATGGAACAGCCGTGACACAGTGGTACCACACTTGCCTGAGGAACAAAGGATCCGTGGTTCAAACCCTACCTCTTGGTAAGTTTTGTGACATCGGTTAGGAAGGAGGCGTGAACTTCCAAGGGGCACCTAAATAAAATTTAAAAAAAAACCGGTAATGGTTTGCCCAATCTTAAGAAATGATATTTCAAAAATAATATGATCTATAAATTATGAAAAAAAAGACCAGTGGTGATATTCCGAGGTTTATGCTAAAGTGATGTTATCCTAACGTTTATGCAAAAATCTTATTTAATTTACTTTGTTGGGTGTCCCAGTGACTGTATTAATAACTGCATCTTTGATGGCGCGTTCCCGAAAATGACTAATGTTTTAAAAAAAACAATTTAACCAATAAATTAAATTACCGTAGCCTACCTCCTGCTCTATCAAAAGTTTTTGAATTGCTTTTATTCGAGCAAGTTTTTTTAGAACCTAAACTAGATGCCAAATCGTGTGGTTTTCGAAAATCGTGTGGTTTTCGAAAAAAGTATACATCTCAGCATGCATTTTTTATTTAACTTAATAAATGGCATAAATGTATTGACAAAGGGAATATTGTCGAGTCCTTTTATTGGTATTATTTACTATTATCTTTTTATTTATACTATTATTTATTATTTTTTTTAACTTTTTTATTTTTTTATTTGATATTTGACTAATTGATCTTTTTAAAGCAAATGGTTTCATTTCTTAAGATTTATTCATAGATAAGCTGAAAGCATATGGTTTTTCTAATGAAAGTATTTAATTATTGCATAGTTATTGCATAGTTATCTATAATAAGTGCATAGTTGTTTACAATAACAGCATAATTATCTACAATAATTATGTAGTTATCAATAATAACCATATATTTATATATAATAAGTGCATAGTTAGAACAATAACTGCATAGTTATCTATAACAGTTGCATAATTATCTACAATAACTTAATGTTTATACTCATAGAGTGGTCATAAACAAAGAATTATGATAAGTGTTATATTTTCAGAACAGTCAGATATTTCATCAGGAGTACCCCAAGGATTTTTCTTTGCTCAATTTTGTTTAATATTTTTGTAAAAAATATTCATTAACTTATCAAAGATACTGAAATTTGCAATTTCTCTGATGACAAAACTCTGTAGATTTGTGATAACAGTGTGATCAGGGTTCTTTATTGTTTGCAGTAGGAAACTAATAGTATCCAGGCTTGGGCTGGGCCGTTGGGATACCGGGAGATTCCCGGTGGGCCGGTTGCCCCCAAAAAAGTTATCATATTTTTAGTTAGGTTACATTTTATTTACCGTTTGATTAATCAACGGGAAATTAAAATATAGTTAAAAACATAATAACTTTATTTCTGGCCTATAACTACATTTAATTACAGGCTAAAACATCTGCCGGCTAATTATACAAATTTTTGGCGGCCATTTTTTGTGACCGAAAGTAGTATTATATTAAGGTAAACAAAAAAAATAAGTTAAAAAAAGTTAAACTATTTACTTTATAATATAATTTTATATAGCTGTTCAAATTTATATCACAAACGATATTAATGTACAGGATCAGTGTTCTATTGTGATCCGATATGTAACCGAAGCTGTATATAAACGTGTAATATCGATAGATATTGACACGGAAGCATTTTACTCTGTCTCGGACAACTTCCAACAATATAAATATGTAGAATTTGAAACTGTCTTTACAACTCAGAAGTAGAAAACAGCGACAGCCACAAAAAAATGTAAATCTTGCTTAAAATGTAATGTTTATTGTTACTTTGTTCTCCAGAAGTTGCATAGTCTTGCGTTTTCAAATTTGTTTCTAACTTACAAATTTGTGTTGACATCCTCATCACAAGTTGCTTGTGAAAGGTCATTTTCGAAGTTAAAATTTATTATGAACAGATTTAGAAACTTGATGAGCCAGTCAGATTTACTATCATTAATGCTGATGTCTTGTGAAAAAGACCTTCTTCCAAGAATTAACAATAATGCAATTGTTGATGTTTTGGCATCAACTAGTCAAACAATGAAAAAATTGCTATAATAGTCAATATTGAATAGCGATTGTGTAGACTATTTCTACTATTTCTAGTCACCAACTTACAGCCGTGTTTTAGAAATATTTATTTTTATTAATATTAAGGCTGTGAAATTTAAAATTTATTTTTTATACTTGAAATAATAATAAACAATAATGCACCTAAAAATAAAAAGGTCCTTCATTAACAATATAGGTAAATTTAGAAAACTAATGACGCTAATCATGGTCGCTGTCCCGGGCGACGTGATTTGTTTACAATAAAAACTTACCCTATGAACTTTAATAATGAAAAAATTGATGCATCCACTTAAAGGGTCTAAGTATAAATGCATTAAAAAGGTTTTACATTAAACCACCTTGCTTTTGAATTCCCAGATAATACTATATTGTGAATAAGTCTAGTTAGTTCTAATAAGTGTTTCCAAAAGGTTATAAGAAAATGGCAAGGTAATATATATATTTTTTTTAATTTGTCATTATTAAACTCTTTTTTTTTTAACTTACTTGTTTATTGAAACTCTATTGTTTCTTGTTTTTTGATTACTGTAAATTTGATTTAAAATATAAAAATAGTAATGTAAATTATGTTCATATCTTTTTTATTTGGTTTTTATTTATTAATTTTTTTAAAACTTTCTTACTTACTAAAACTTTAGTTGTTCGTTTTTAATTTATTGTAAGTTTTATGTAAAAACAAACTTTGTAATTCAAATCTTGTATACAGGGCCGCCCCGAAGGAAGGGTGACCCCCCCCCCAAAAAAAAAAAAGCTGTCATTTAAGCATTTGAGTTAGCACATTGAGCAAGTTTTGAACTATAGTTGGCAAATTGCAAATATTGAGGCCCTTTTTTTTTTTTCTTTGGTGTTTCTAGTTGGCAAAAAAATACATACACTCCCCCCAAAGAAGACCTCTTCGGGACGGCCCTGCTTGTATAGACTTATCTCTATCTTTAAGAGCCTCATTATGCTATTTATTTACAAATTTTTTGTTGGTGTGTGATGTCCATTAAGTTATATGAGTTGATTTTAATTAGTTTACGAAAACTTCTGAATATTGTCAACGGTAAATAAAGTTTTTAAATTTAAGAAAAAACAAAATACTTTCAATTTTAAATTTACTGCATACTATTAAAAAAAACCTCTTAGAAAAACGCACTTTCATTTAATAAATGAAAGTTGCAAGCATAAAACTGTAAGATGTTACTATATATTAATTTAATTAATGAATGTTGCAAGCATATGATTGGAAAATTCATATTGATCATTCAGAACATAGAAAATTCATCACTGACCTCAACAGCTTTTAAATTTTTATTTACCTCAATCATCCAAACCAGAATATGAAATCGCATGAATATCAACATTGTTTTGCTGTTATATATAACTTTATTGAAAAATATGTCCTTAGTTACATCCTTTTTCCTTAGTTACATTTTTGAAATTTAATTTACTACCAACTTGATAAGTAGGTAGTTAGTTATTAAAATAAGTAGTTAATAAAACTGCAATTTTAGTAATTAAAACCAGTATAACATTTTTTTTCATTAATTACACTTTTCTTAGAAGGTAAATTTGGTTTATGATTGTTTGTTTTTTTCATTTTGAAAACCTATTTTTGAAAGATCTAGTTACTAAGTATTGCTGTTGTTCAACAATACTTTAGGATCATTGTTAGCAGTACTTTGATATACATAAAAGACGTCTTTTGATTCTTTTCTGAACGATCCGCTTAAGATGTGAATATTGATCTAGAATACGTAGTATTCTAGATTAATATTCACATCATATTTTGTGTTTATTGAAAACTATTTGGCTTTATTGAAAACTTAGAGTTTCTCTGATTTGTAGAAACAAACTTTTACATTTTCATAATATGTTTTGTTTTATATTTCTTTTGGTTCAATATTCAATTTGCCACAGTAATCAAAAAAAGTTTAAAAGTTTAAAACAATATTAATTGAAATTGATGCAAATAAAATGCCGCCCAAAATATGTTAACATTTTAACACTATAGTAACGAGATTTCATAAGGTTCAATCATAATCATAACATTTTAGCGTTTAAAAAACACGTTGAACTTATTTAACCTAGTTGAACATATAGAACCAATGAAAAAAATAATATGATGGTTAGAAAAAATAATATATAAGTTTTTCTTACCATTTGTTATTATAATTATTCTTGTCATTTTTTTACCATATGGTATCTTTATATATTTGTTAGTACCATATGAATATAGTTTTTAAATTATTTTGTTTTTTCATAATAATATGTAAGTTTTTGGTAAATTTTTCCATTTGTATTTTTTTTTTTTTTTTTTTTTTTTTGCATTTTAAAATTGCATTTTTTTACAAAATGTGGAATCTTTTGTTTTTACGATTCCACATTTTGCCGAACGTTTCCGTTTCTTTAACAATCTTCTTTTGAATATTAGTTTTTAAAAAAACCTTATTCGTTTTTTATTGCAAAAAATAAATTGATTAAGTTTAGTTAAAATATTTGTTCATTGATTTCGTTTAGTTAGTGATTCATTTGATTTAGTTTAGTTAAAATATTTTAATCTTAGTTAAAATTCAAGTTAACTATTCTTATCCGGTTTCCATGACTATAACTATTCACATCCCGTTTCCATGACTACAATCATTAACCAGGAACTTGATTATGAAATTATTATTTTTTGCATTTATCATTTCGTAATCAGGTTTAAAATATGCATTTAAAAATTAGTATATTAGATTCACTGTATAATATATTTGATCACTATATTTAATTATCTAAATGTATATAAATAAGAAAAAATCTCACTTATCACTAAGTACGCATTTATCGTGGATTAGTTAAGGTAAAACTCTTTACTTTAAAATGGCAAAAGTGATATGTGTTTGGGTTATAATACTCTTAAATACAATCCATGCATTTGAGTTCATGCAATATCATGAAAAGTTTGAAGATTCGGTAAAGTCGGAAAATATAACTCAAGTTCCTTTGAAGAAAACTGAAAATAATTTGCAACTTATACCATCTCGTTTTGAGTTTGAACGGGCAAAATCAAATCTTGCAGAGTTAATTGAAAACAGCAGAGTTGGTCGAGATTTAAAATTAATAGCAGGCACAGTTCGTCTAGCTTTTCACGATTGTGTAGGAGAAGAAAACTGTGATGGATGCATTGAGTACACAAATCCGGATAACGCTGGATTAGATAAAATTACGCGAAGTATCGACACTTTGTATGATCTAGTTCACAAGAATAAAATATCAAGAGCCGATTTTTATGCTCTAGCCGCAGTTGTTGCTCTCACTAGGTCCACTGCTGATGTTAAAGATAAATACCAAGGCTTAAAGAAATTCAAAGTAGGAAGAAAAGATTGCAGCAAGTCTCCTAAAGAAGACAAACCTACTGTGCTCCCTAAGGCATTAGCGGGATTTAAAGAAACATTTAACTTTTTTCAAAAAGAATTTAAATTTTCAGTCAAAGACACTGTCGCTTTACTAGGAGCACATACACTAGGGGGTTGTTCATCTAAAAACTCTGGATTTCAAGGTGTTTGGGATAATGATATCTTTAATAAACTTCAAAAAGGAAATGACAAACTAGCTTCAACAAGTGTTCTTGATAATTCATACTACGATATGTTTATTAGAATTGTACCATGGATCCAAGTAAATCTCACAAACGGTAACACACAATGGCAAGAAATATTTTTTCCTGTAGCTAATGACAAAATAAAAAATATAAAGAATCAACATCCGATACTCTTAAACTCTGACTTAGCGCTTTCATGGGAGATTGAACCAGTAGATAAAGCCGGAACATCATCTTGCTCACTTCACCCTGAAATAACATGCAAGCACTCTGCTGGCCACAAGTACGCACAAGCCTTTTTTCAAAACAATACATTATGGTTACAGACATTTACAGACGTTTTTAATAGAATGATTGAAAAAAACCCATACAAGCTAAAAGAAGCATCAAAATTAAAGTAAAAAGTTAAAAGTAAAGCAATAACTTAACTGAGACTATTTATGTATTTTTTTGTTAAAACTTTTTAAAGTTCATAAAACATATTTTGATTCTTTAGTTTTTATTGAACGACAGTTTAAATTTTCTGAATACTTACTATAAAAAGCGAAGAGTGTTTTCATTAAACCAATAGCAAATAGTTATTCGTTAAAATTATATAAATAAATATAAGAGAATTTATACGCCTAAACTATCACTTACGGGGACAGATTTTACAAAAAAACGAATTCTTACGGTGGCAAAAGCTTTCTCGGGGACATTTTTGCGTACCCTTAAATTTTGTACCGGGTAAATTTTTGCGTACCCGTAAACAACTTATATACAAAGCGAAAAATACACACATCGAGTATCAAATACCCTGAACCGCAACAGGGGTTTGCTACATCGACTGAAGGTTTGGTTAGGGCCGTCAATATCAGGCTTAGGATTATATTAAAGGCAAGGTTTAAATATGGTTATATTACTGCAATTAATTGTTTTTGTAAATAGATGAAAAAAAATATGAAGTATAATATTTAACAATTAAATAAAAATAACAAAAAGAGTTATAAAACATATATATTTATAACAAAATAATGAATTTAAATAAGTATAAATAAAAATAGAAGTAAAAATTTATAAAAAATAGATATAAATATAAAAACGTTTGACGTTTAGGGGGTCAAAAACGGTCAAAAATTACGTGACGTGACTTGTGGACGACCCCTTAGCCGAATAGACTAACTTTTTACCTTTGCCAACTTTAAAATGTCAAAATTTGCTATATTTAAAAGTGCTGAATACAGTTTAATATTTGCCAATGGGAAAGAATGGGTGACATCACTCTATCGCCCCTGTTTAAGATACGCTAATTTACTTTTGGTTTTTTTTGTTGGAAAGACCGATGAGGTAAAAAGTAATCCCACGGACGCCATATGTAAAATTTTTAACTTAATTACGTAGTGAGACTAATTTATTGGTTTCTTTCTTTACTTAACCACTCTCACGAATTTTAATTTTCACGAACGTGGCTAAAAACTTTGTTGAATCGTCGGAGACGAAATATTTATTTTATTTAAAACTTTATTTTCAATTGGTTGTTTGCAATAGTTTTATAATCACCATAAACTAATTAAAATTAACACACTAAACTGTATAAGACAATACAAACAAACATACATTTAATTAAAAGTAATTTACATTGTAAATAATATAGATGCCAATAAATACAACAAACTGGTTATTTTTTGACGTTAAAAAAATATATATATTTTTGACAGATTTTACAAAAACAATATTTTCCATACCATTTTAGAATACTTTTTTTGAATATCTTCAGACAATTTATTTACATAGTTTGATTGTTTAGGGAGTTCCATTGCGAGGTTGCTTTATATAAGTTACTTTTTATGAACTTATGTTTAGAGACTATGGGTAGGAGTACTAATTTTTTACTACGGCGAAGACTTAACGGCAGGGTTTTTATGATAAAAAGATCTAACATAAATTCTTGATTTAAACCATTTATAGATTTAAATAATAAAAACCTTAAATTTCTAAGGTGGACACTTGGGTTATTTAATAATTTTTTGAACTTCTAATGGGAGAACAAAACTTTTATAGACAATGCGAAGTCCTTTATAATGAATTTTATTAATTAGGTTATTTATATACTTTGAACAAAACATCCAAATCAAAGAACAATATGAAAACTTTGACAGTATAAAAGCAATGAATAAAACAGTAGCTTGTTTTACTGATAAGAAGCTGCATATTCGTGAGAGTAAAGTATTTGCTATTCGCTTTTCCACAAAGGCTTTTAATATGACCATCAAATTTCAAATCCTTATCAATTGTAATTGAGAAGAAAGAAATCATGATTTTTACATTTCCGACCATTAAAAATCATTAAAATTTTTTAAGCCAGCTAAAAAAAATTGAAATTTGTTCGGATTTGCAACCATTTTATTCAAAGTAGACCATGAAATCGCATTTGATGTTACTATTTGAAGACGAGCAATAACACTCTCTATGTTGTTGTCACAAACAGAGAGTGTTTTCATCAGCAAAATTGTTGATATCAGAGTCTTTTATAAATAAGAAAATATCGTTTATAAAAATAATGATGAAAATTGGTTCCAAAATTGAGCCTTGAGGTACACCAGATTCCAGATCTAAGTATTCAGAAAATGAGGATCCCAATCTTACCCTCTGTTTGCGAGCAGAAAGGGTGAGCCCCGACTCACCGACTCACCGACCTTCATTTAATAGATAATTAGAGTTTGAGGCTATTGTAAGAAAACCCATAATCTTCTAACTTGGCTATAAGCAAATCATGTGGAATAAAATCATATGCCTTTGATAAATCCATAAGCATAGTGCCAACTATACTTTCTTTGTCCAAGCATTCTTGCCACTTATTAACTAAATTAAAAAGTGCGTGCTGTGCCTTATACCCTCTCCGAAACCCGCACAGAAATTTGTTAAGGCTTGGCTCTATAAAAATCGGGTTTTTTGCTCATAAATAACGATTTTAAACACTTTTGAGTGTTTGAAATTGTCATTTACGAGCAAATGACATAAACTTATTCATGACATAAGTTTTTAACATAAACGTTGGAATATCTCCACTAGTCTTCTTTTTACTATTTAAAGAATAAGTAATTTTTGTTACATCATCGATAGTAGTTTAATGAAATTTTAGGGATACAATTTGGATTTGTTTTTAACGTTTATAATACTAGGATGGTTTGCATATCTTATAATAGCAGATTTAACAGACACATGAACATTGCAAAAAGAAGTGTAATAACTCATCTCACTATTTATAGGAGACAATGCAACGTTTGTAAAATATAAGTTGAAAATTTTTAAAATTTGAAAGTTATCAGAAATAGTTTCCCCGTGTTCAATCAACGTTATACGATCGTTCGACTTTTATTTATTAGAAAGAAAAGGCTTGCCTATCTTGAATAAATTTGTCTCACTAAAATACAAATTTTTATATAAAGGAATCGAAGACAGGCTTCAGAAATCATTCATATTATATATATAGACTTACAAAAATAATGTCATATTTTAATTTTACCCAATAGAAATAACTTTCTGCTAGAATAAAAAAAAAATTGATTTGATACCTCTCTTTAGAAATAAAGTCTCTAAACAGTTATGTAATTCAAAAACATTTAAAAATCATGACAGATAAAATACTTGAATGAATTATAGGTAAAAAAATTTCATATATGAGGAGAATACTTGTAAACCAGATATTTAACTTTTTAGTTTTTTATTAAGTCTATTTACTATGTATTTGTTCTACACTATTCTGCTAATCCAAAGCTTTGCTAAACAGTCGAGTCAGTCTTGGCAAAGATTACTTTGTATTGTTTTTAGTTATACATTTAACAATAAAATTATTTAAAATGTTTCCTTGGCTATTTAGTTTATAAATTAGACATAATACTTATCTAACTCACTTAACGATGTGCGCCAACGAGAAGGTAAGCCATAGGACTTTGCACTTCATTCATAAACTGTCGTGTTGCCTAAAGTTAGCCCTCTATTTCTGGATTCCTTTTTTTATATGCAGTTATGCACAAATATTTTTATAAAATTTTATAAATTTTTTTCTTTTTTTTTTTAAACTTTAATAAATAAATATGCAAGACAAAATATTATACAACAAATAAAGTAAGAGTGAAATAACGGAGATACCGCATGTTTTGATTTAAACGTAAAAAGTATAACTTTGTTTATATAAAGCTTACAAACATTAAGCACATTAAGTTTCTTTAAAAGAGATTCATCATTAACAGTTCTGTTAACGCCAAATATAATCCTGCATGCATGTTTTTGTTTGCTATAAATTTTTTTGAGCTTGCCATAATTGGTACTTCCCCATGCAAGATTACAATAGGAAAGATAACTATGAATAGGGGAAATCGGGGTACAGTGGATCGAGGGGGACAGTAAATAAGAAGCATTTTCTCAAAGATTATGATTTTTTTCATCACGATGATGTAATCCGTTTGTGCGCATATATCAACTATCTTTATTTATATGTACTACCACAAAATTTTTGACTCTCGGTTTTCGGTAGGTAATTTATGTTTTTAGCTAACTAAAGTAAATGTTCTTACCATCTTTATGTTTGTGGAGATCATGATTAAAATCATTTTTTAAGTTAAAGTTTTATATTCGGAATACTGGTATTTATGTTTCATTTTATTAGTTTTGTTTTTCTTTTAATAACACTCATGTCCCAAGAAATTAAACTTGAACCTTATTCTTTATGGTGGGGCGCAATGAATTGGGGTACCCTGAATCGGTTCATTCACTGTGATAAAAATGTTTATAAAAATTAAAATGTTTAAAAAAATTAAAAATTCACTTTTAAAAATTTTTTTTGTTGTTGGTTAAATAAGTTTTATTAGGTAAAAATTTTTTTTGTGATTTTAGATGGTTGAATAAGTTTTGTTATCAATAAAATTTATTTTTTATTTTTTCAATCAGAAAAAATTTAAGTTATTTAATTTTAATTACCAAAAGTGCGCCAAAAGTACAATGTTAACCAAATAATCAAAATTATTTGGTTACGCCCCATTAACTGCCACTAAATTGCAGATGTGTTAATTGATTCAGTGTACCCCCAGTACTGGGGTACAGTGAATCACTTAACACAACTCACTTTAACACCTTTCTGTGAGCTGTTAGATAATAAATATTTAGGTTTTAGTGATTTCTTATCATGAAGGACATATTTGTCAATCCTTCAGCCTTGACAAAGATAAAATATATATTTTAACTTCCACTCGAATTAAAAAAGAAATCCGACCCACTGTGCCCCAACTCTCCCTAAATGAAAAATATATAATTTTAAAAGATTCCGTATTAAGAAAAAGTTTAACTTTATACAGCATTGAAGTATTTTTGGAGATTTTATTTTCAATAGATTTTATATGATATTTCCATGACATATTTTCAT